TTCGTAGGGATTATGGCCTACAACTTCCCTTGCTAGATGCGAATCATCTTCCAAAGAAAAGAGAATTCTTTCATTTGAATTGTCCATGATTTCTTCGAAGCACAACACAAGAACGAAGCGCAATAAAAAATAAATGTGATTTCATGTGATAAAAGTGAGGTTAAAGTAAAAACCGAATAGTTATTGTTTGTATTCGCTTAGATAGGTAACGCCTTCGGTGGTTCAATACGACTTGCGTTCAGCGCCAGCGTAGCAATACGTAAACATACGTCGGACGCAAGCGTCGGACGTATCTCCTGGCGTAGGAAATTCGCACACTGCGCATGCTTAGATGTCAAATTCTACGTTTACGCTTACGCATTCTGCATTGCTTTAACTCCTTATTGAATTACAGGCACATCAACGTGTCTCTAGCCTCTGCCTTTGGGCTAATCTCTGGTTTTGAGTAACAAAATTAGTGACCATTCAGCATTCAGCTAGGGTCCCTTGATGGAAATTGACGTTAAAGTCATCTTAACAGGGTACGGACAGATCCTCGTCTCCTCTCACTCTAAAGTGTTTGTGAAACAGTTATATAGTTCCATCCTTATTCAATTCTGGGGAAAAACACTAGATTTTTGACATTCGTTGTTTTTTAGGTTATATTGAGGTCACTGGCGTATCATACATAATTTCCATATGGAATTCCTGATTCAACTATACCAAGATATAGATGAACAATCCTCTAGTTTCGGAATTTACTACTCCAGCATAATCTTTGCTATTTAGGGAACATATAAATTGTACTGAAAGCTCGATATATTTTACCAAAAGAGACTGTTCTTAGACTGTATACCAGGGTCGACTGAACTGACTGAATAAATTCTGATTTCAAGCTGAGCAGTAGTTTACCTATGAGCTGGATGAGCTGAGCCTTTATGATTGAGAAATGGTGGAAACCTCGATGTGGGTATCTGGACTACTGTACTCATGTCATGTGTGCTAAATGTATTTTCAGAAATCCAACTCGGAGAAGAATTCATGGAGTTACTAATATCACACTATGTATAAAACTTCGTCTAGGGCGAAAAGTAGGCTGATAAAAATTAATACGTAAAATGTGCAGGAAAATAAAGAATAAAATATACTTCACCCCCATGTTATACATATGATTTTTCAGTCTCTTTTGAATAAAGAGTCATTTTCGAATAATTTATTGATTAAAGTAACAAAGAAGTAGGTATACGCCTAAGTATACGCAGTATAACTTATAGGCACGTTATTTTCACCCTTGCATCCTACATGTATTCTATTTGTGGTAGAGTAATAATTATATAAACTAATGTCTTTCGCCATATTGGATCCGTCATCTTGAATGTTTCAATTTTGAATAGAATCGGATCATAATTACAAAACTCGTTCGGCATATGATCTTCCTCAACAAGTAAATACCCTGTACATAACTATAATTAAAATTTTGAATGACTTTCTGTAGCGCCCATGGATGTGACGTGACAGCAATGTCAGGGATGCCAGTAGACAAAACTAAAATCTCTAGATCATTAAAAAAGAATGCAGCTATGATCTGTCCGTACCCTGTTAGGATGACTTTAACGTCAATTTCCATCAAGGGACCCTACATTCAGCGAACTTGGTTCGCATGAATTCAAAACGCCCCGAACCAGAGATTAGCCGTTCTGTGGGTGGCTAATCTCTGTCCCGAACTGTCGTATCTAGAGACAGGACACAAAGAGACAAGACGCAACAAACAATGCGGAACACGTTTTCTGGAAATTTCCTGAAAAAAAAAACATCAATGATCAACACATGTACAATACACATTTTTATACGGCTATAACACAAAATTACTCTTGTTTTCCTGTGTTCAATAAATCAGTTAGGTATACTTTGTATGGGTGCCATTTTTATTTCCGTATCGGATATCTACGAAAGCACCCTGGTGTCAAGCACACATTATAACGGTAATGCAATAGGAAGATACAACATTGATTAACATATTCGTATAAGGTGATCTTGTAGTTATCATACCTACAGAGAGAACCCACAATCTACTATATTATTTGTTCCGACATAATATTCTTCCATCATTTATACATGAAAATGTTTATAGATCGATATGGACTATTAGAAACATCCCATGAACTTTATTCAGAAATAGAACAATTTAATCAAAACACCAAGACTGAAAGTGGACAAATCAAATTTTTAGATGAACACTATCTAATATGATGAGTATACCTCTAATATATATTGCCTATACGACATCATCATATAACATATAGTACATTTTCTCATAATCATCATTGTTATAAGATATGCGATTCGAATTTACCGCCGAAGTCAAAATCAACCTGATTGGTCTAAAAGCTTGCCTATGCCTGTTATCGGGGCGTTTTGAATACGTGCCAATTGGTAATCAAAATTGACATTGACACTATGTGAACACAAAATGATGTAGTTTTCAATAAAAATAATTACACAATATTGGTTTTGTAAAATTTGGAGAAAATAGTATATTGTTAAACGAGCACGGAATGATCGTCAATTCCCACGAGAATGAAGCATGAGCCATAGGTGAATGCTGCAACCATTCGAGTGGGAAATTAGCATTCCGTGCGAGTTATAAACAATACTTTTTCTAAGGCTGCAACAGATAACAGCAAAATTTTGTATTTCTTCGACTTGTAGGCATCGGATTTTTCTTTAAGTAATGCTCATCTATTAGACAGAGCTGTCAAAACTGTCATTGCTTGTAATCTGACTTTTCATGAAAGATGAGATTTTTTTGAAATAATAACACAATGGGGTCATTGTGATATCAGATATGGAAATGAAATTGATGACATACAAAGTACCTCACTGATTTGTCGAACACAGTAAAACAATAGCAACTTTGTGTTATAGCCGTAGAAAAATAGTATATTGTTCAACGAGCACGGAATGTTGGCGAATGCTGCAACCATTCGAGTGATAAATCAACATTCCGTGGCGAGTTATACACTATACTTTTTCTAAGGTTGTGACAGATAACAGCGAAATTTTGTATATCTTCGGCTTGTAGCCATCTGATTTTTCCTTAAATAATGCTCATCTATTAGACAGAGCTGTCGCCTGTCAATGCTTGTTATTTGACATTTCATGGAAGATGAGATTGTTTTGAAATAATAACAATAACACAATACACAATAGAGTCATTGTGATATCAGATACGGAAATAAAATTGATGACATACAAAGTACCTTATTTATTTATCGAACACAGTAAAACAAGAGCAATTTTGTGTTACAGCTGTAGAAAAAATTTTTCACACGGCAGCAAAATGCAGTAAATTTTTCAGGGGGGGAAAGAAAACAAAAACATAAATAAAATAAGTAGAGAACGGAATTCGAATACACGGATTAACCAGCAATTATACGAGGATTATTGTTAATCTTAGCAGCCCTCAACCACATAATTCGTCATATGGTTTTAATTTGTCATAATAAGAATCAACATGCCACATATAATTTGGTCCTTTATTATATGCCCTTCGTCTCAGCCTATTTCTCGAACGCAGTTCAACTCCTGGGTTTTTTCCTTCAAGAGACGCCTCACAGTGTTCATTTTGACTACCAAACCATTTTGTAAACATTTCAGGTGCATCCATTGATATCCATGCAGACTACCTGAACCAAGTATTTGTTGGTCAATGAAGTCTGATATAATTGTTAGGTCTGTGTAATTTTTCCTTCGATACAAATTGAGTTGTTTCAAGTACCTTTTCAACTGCCTTTCACTGATCAGAATGTCATATGTCGTAACATCAAAAATGCTTTTATTTCGGAAAGATTGAATCCTACCTGAAAGTATCGTTTGATTAACTGCTTCACTTCTACCATGATATCAATTTATAAAAGATATCATGCAAAATTGAGTAACGTTGTCGAAAGTTCAGAACTTCAGAACATGACAACCTAATATGTAGAAATAAGGTATTTCATTTCATCTTTCATCTATGGTCATTTTACACACCACACAGTACACACCAAAGAGGGGAGGGTTCTTTTTCTCTATCTCTATGAAAGTGGGATTGTTAAAATCACAAATCCACAGCCCTTGTCCTTATTGGTCACATCTTGATCACGTGATCTGGCGCAAACGCAGTCACTATTCTTGACTGCACGAACAATAAAATATACTTGGCAACACAGCAGCCGGAAAAAATATCTCTATGATTTTTATAAGCGGCTCTGAAGGGACATAGGAGATATTTTTTTTAAATTATTTCACATTTTACTTTAGCAGCCCCGAAGGGACATAAAAATGTGGGAGATATTTTTTTAAAAAATATCTCACCATGGCCCTTCAGAGCTTTCGTAGTAATTGAAATGACGCAAAGAGCTGAAAATATTCAGCTTTTTGCGTTGCAAAAGCCATCGTCTATGAAAATAGTAAAAATAGACGAATAATATGAAACATTCTGTAATAATATGGAAGGTATGATAATGTTTTCATGATTTTCTCATGAATCCACAGAATAGTAGATAGGTATACTGTTCAATTCATTATTTTCTTAGTGAAGATTGATTTTTCTCTTCAAGTATTGAATAAGCACCAATTTCCATCACCGCCAGTTCTATCAATTCGATATTATTAATTATCTGATCAATATTATTGTTACGATTATTCACTTCATTTCAGGATGAAAAACAAATAACAAAACCAAGGCAACTGAGCCATAAAAAGTCACGATTTTTTGTTGTTGTGAATGACATTTGCTCACGTTTAATTTCAGATTTCGCTTCACCAATCAGAATACGAAACGTAAAAAGCAAAACGTAAAAAGTTTGGTTGTGAACCCCGCTTTACGCGTCACCAATCAGAGTGCGTGACGTGTGACGCGAAAAGCAAAAACTATGCATTGGGAACTCACCTTCAATGTCAAAATAATCTATGGATATGTTTAAAAAGAGTACCTTTGCAGAAGGATTTTGCAGGAATATGAGACAAGACATAAGTAGTTCAAAACTATACTGGGATCAAACCTGTATCCAAATCAACTCATGTGTCTTCTAGAACTGACTGGCTTATTGAAAAGTTAAAATACAAGTAGAGTAATTTATTCATAGTATATACACATATAGCATCTATTGAAACCACTAAAATTCCATGGTGTTTTAATCCCATCTATATAGATTACCAGGAGTGATCCTTTTTAGTGCTCCTGCTTTATCAGTAGCTTCCAGTTGTTTAGGAATTGGTGCTATCAATTCTGGAGGTGAAACCTCTCTTCTAGCATCTCGGTTATAGTAGTAATTGGTATTCAACCTATGGGCAGGGCCCTCAGGCAGGACTGGGGGAGGAGGAGATCTTGTGGCAAGGGTGTCTTGAAACCTATAAAAATGTTGATATTTCCTTAAAGTCTAAATGGTCCTGAAATAGAAAGTTTACTAACCTCAGGGCTAGAGTATGTTTTCTACCAAGCAAAAAATTTCTGATGGTTTGGATGAATGGATTCACGTCGTGGTGGAATTGGACTTTTGGAGGCATTTTACTGTAGTATTATATTATTAAAGATATTGAAATTTTTGTTACGAAATGAATTTTGAGGTTAAAAAATATTGACAGTTGCATAACATTAACATGACACGGAAAAACTAGTTCGACTTTGACACTGACAAGTGACGAACCTAGGATATCCACTTTTAGGTTATGTTTCTACTTTTATGACGATTTGTAGGGACCTTCGCTTCGGTGTTCGGGCTTCTAGACAGAGTTCACTAGGATCAGCAAGTCCATTACCGATTTCACTGAGTTACCACTATTGATGCCTACAAACTGTCTGAACAAGGAATATGAATGCTATTCACCATTGATAGTCTTTGGCCTGAACACAAAATATCTATCAAAAACTCCAACAAAGTACTTACTATAAAAATACACAAATTTGTATTACAAATATATTTCAACAATCTTAAAACATACAAAATCACTACAACTTCTAACTGCTATGCTCAACAAGATGTCTCAACCAAATATAATAAAATTCAAGTTGAAAACATCACTTCAAGTCTGAAAATTTGCAGTTTGCAGATCATTCTTTACCATATTCAACTAGAAATGAACAGACTTGGGATTCTCACAGAGAAATATAACAAAAACATATAAAATGGAAATATTCTATGAACTTATTCTACTTTAGCCAAGATGTCAGACTCTCGGAAAAGGTGGTATTCAGAATTTTCTTCAAGTTCCACTTTGGTGCCTCCATATTCTGGCAGAAGAACATTTTCACCCACTTTAACGGTCAATGGGGCGAAGCTACCATCCTTGAAACATAAATATAATAAACATAATGAATATCATCACCATTAGATTTTTTCCGAAATTAAAACCACTAGAAAATGTTTTCTATACAAAAGACAGAACACAATTTATTTCACACTATACATGTAGGTGTATTGGGTAATGTGAATACTCACTTGTAATCTAGAACCTGGTCCAACAGCTACCACTGTGCCTTTAAGAACTTTACCCTGGGCTTTTTCAGGAATTACAATGCCACCTTTCGATTTGGTAACAGCCTCAAATTTCTTGATGAGGACACGGTCGAAAAGAGGGATCAATTTCTTGGCAGCTCCAGACTAAAATAATAGTAGAAACATTTTCAGACAAACGTGCACGAGGTTTTTCACTAGGTTATGAGGTTCTCCGTGAAATCTAAGGAGTGGTCTTTTGCTTACCATTTTGTTTGAATTCGAATATGAAGGAGAAACAAAAAAATGTCTCAATAGAGGAGAATTTCACAGGTATTTGTTCTTGTCCTCACGAATATTCTAGAATTTCTAGATTTTTTTAGAATGACGATTACCGGTTATAGGATAGGGCCAGGCCAGGGGGTTATCAATTTTCCACGCAGGCGAAGTAGAGACAGTAGAGTAGAAGTAGAACTAAAAACTCCGAACTAGTTGAAGACAGATTTCTGCAAGAGGACGCGACGTCAGAGATCAGTCGGGTGACTGATCTCTGGCGACGTGGGCGCGAGTACGAAAGCCGATAAATGTATGTGACAGAATACTATAAACAGCTGTAGGCAAAACCAGGAAGCTTTGCATTCCCTCTCGTAGATGTCAGCAGAATCAAGATTCAAAATAATCATCAGTTCTACCAACCTTGAGAACACTCTGATGGTGATATAACGTCCAAGGAAATCTCGGAAGAAGAAGAAGAAGAAGAAGAAGAAGAAGAAGAAGAAGAAGAAGAAGAAGAAGAAGAAGAAGAAGAAGATAGGTACGAAAAAACCTCGAAAAAACCAACGGTTTCCTCTCTGTAGTCTCTGTAAGCTCTCTACTGTGGTTTAGTTCATTGTGGTTTACCATCGAAAATTATCATAATTATTGTTTATAGTGTTTCAGTTACCTATATAAAAAAGTGTTTGTCTTTGAAAATCAATTTATTTTTTTCGCGTTATTATCAGAAATACAGAAAAACTGAAAATAATTTTCTTTAGCAACTTGCAATGAGATTTAACGTGGTGATATTTTCTCTACGCGACGTTTCGTATGCGTAGAACTATCATCAACTTTTTTCAAATGCGGTCCTGATTATGTGTTCGAATAGATTCTGGATGAATTCTTATTCATTCTGAATTTAACCATGCATTATACACGCATCAGGTGGTTTGAATGTGTTTAGAACTAGTTTATCTAGCCATCAATGTTTTTTTCGAAATTCCGAAGATTAAATACCATCAATTCAACTTTGTCTGATCACTTAGAGAAATCAATATCAGCACGTTAAATCTCATCTAAAGTTGCTATGGAATAATAGCTACCTAACAAGTGTGGAAAGTGATGCTTTCCCGCACGCGATTGCAGATGGCCAAACGACGCTTAGCGGGGTTTGACCAGCGATCGCATGCGGAAAAGTCACTTCACGCACGAATTAGGAACATTATTTTTTCTACGAGCTTGCTGAAAAAACCCAAAAGAACAATTACTATTATAAAATATTCAAATGTCAGTTTACACCCCCCAGAAACTTAACAAATTTACTTTTCCGCACTAGTGCGGAAGACATTTTTCCGCACGTGCGGAAAAGTGGACCTTTCAACACTAAAATGAGTGCGGCAAGTGGGCTTTTCCGCACGCTAGTAGAAGAGTGTGTTTTCAGTTTCTTGCAGCTCTAATAATATAACGTAGAAAAACAATTATTCTCCACAAGTTCACTTTCTTCGAAAATTCGAAGTAATTTATGCAAAATCGAGAAGTTTCAAACAGAATTCAGAATGAGCGATTTTCAAAATTAGACTACGCAAATACCACAAAAGGTGTACCTAACATGAATCAGAAGTGTGAGGAGGGTAATTCAGAGGATAACCTGAAATCAGAAGTGGGATAGACAAAAGTCAGAAGAAAGCCAAACGTGATTCAGAAGTGGGATCAGAGTTTATCAGAAGTGGGATCTGCAAACATGAAAATTACGAATGAAGAAGTGTGATGAGCAGAAATCAAAAGTAAGTGAGATCTGAGCAATCAAATACTGAATGTTCAAAATCTTCATTCCATACTGCATGAATTGAATAAATGATTGAGAAAGATATGCAGGGCCCAGTTGTTGTGCAATCGAATAAGTAATTTGTCGGCAAAAGGTATTCAAGTATTTTAATTTAATTGCAATCCAATTGGTGCATAGTGGCTCCTTTTCTCTTATGAAGTTCACGCCTTTGAATAGTGGCCGGTAGGAAGGAATAAGCATATGTATTATATTTATTTCAGATAATCCACCCTGTAAGTATAGGCATATATTATAGGTTGATCGGTAGGTAGATTCCTACTTGTTTACCGCGTACATACATTGGGCGGTGTGACTGAGAGAGAGGTTCGTGTTGATACAAACTTGGCAGGAGATTAATTAATCGATAAGTTTATCGACAAGACCATAACCTATCAAATTAGGCACGGTCGGCACACTTTGATGTTATGATAATTGTTCTCATATTTATTAAATTTTCAGAGGGTAGATTTTCATTACCTTACCTGGTATCTATTGGGTGTGTGTAATTTGCGGACTGGCTATTTTCAGCAAACAAATCGTTGTTTTTATTGCATATCTGGATTCAGGTCATCGGACTACACGATAAACAAATTTTGATTTTTCTCACTGACCCCCCTGGGGAGTACTTTACTCGTGTGTTTTTTCATAAAATCTTGCGGACTGGGTAATTTCGCTAACCAAATCGTCTCAATTTTCTAAAAAATCAATTTTTCTGCAACGGACACAAATGTGGTCCATTCTAATAATTGACGTTTCTATTACTGACACAAACATAGGTGTGTTGTTGGGCAACACTGTTAGTTCCTAGGAGCTGAAGTTGAACTTTAGCTCCTAGGAACTAAAAAGGATGAACTGGACTAGGTCATCAAGAATAAACAACATTGTTTTATGGTTGGTTATTTGGGTTGGGACGCATACCTGATATGTTGCTGCAGATATAAATACACATTATAGTTAAATATTTTTGTTTTGATTAGGAAAGCCCTTAAGATTCACCTACTTGGTCATTCTGTATTTCATTCGTTATTCTTGGGATGGATAACTTGTTTTTGATAAATCACGGCCAGCAATACTTTTTTGTCTCACACAACGATATTGTTTACCTTCATTTGATTACCGAGCTAAACACAATAAATAATTCGTATTATATTATTGTTGATATGCTCAATAACCTTATATTTTCCACGTCTTTCTCCTATACCTGGCACTGGCGCGGTATTTACTATTAAGGATGACACCTGGTCCATACACAAATGGGTCACTATGTGGTCATTTAGGAACCAAGAAATAAATAGCCTAGGAACTAAAGTGCTCAAAGAAATAAGTGGACCACTCGAATTTTCGACATTTTTTAAAATGCGATAACTTTTTGGCAACTGAACCGATTTTCAATCGAAATGCAGTTCTCAAAAGATGCGTCTTTCCTTTTTAGGATTCATTGTTCGAAAACTTTCGAAGTTTTCAAGTCATGACATACCAAGTGGTAAAAAGAGTGTTATATAAGCGAAAAAGTTTGGGAGCTCCCGTATTCCTCAGGATTTTTAACATTCTTCTGCAATCAACTTTCTCCACTCTGCTTACTAATATCTCGAAATGGTTTTGGAATTCCTGACCTTCCTTATACAGGATGTGAAATATCGATATTGTTCGATATTCTGTATTTTTATGCATTTCTGTGGATTTAAAAGAGTTCAGGCGATAATCAAACCGTACTGCCCTTTAATACGATCATATTCATTCGTAATCCACCTGGCTTTAGGAGTATCAGAACTTTCGTCAACAAAAAAATGAGCGTTTTTCCGAGAATAATGTGTGAGATTTTGTGAAATCGTCTGTTCATATTGATGCTGCTACAATAATGTGCTTGTGAAATTATGAATCCTTCATTCAGATTGCCCCAGTCAACATCTCGAAAAACTTTCGTGATTTTCTAGATAAGTCAATTCCTGGGGCCGCAAGGGGCACTTTTGCATTATTCAGTAAACGAAATATTGAAGAACATGTGATTTCCAATCAGTGTGAAACCAGCCACGAGTTCTAGCCACGACTTCGCCTAATATTCAAGGCGCGCGCCATACCACCAATGGTCGTTCATTATCAATTTATATTCATGGCTGGCCATGAAATTACTTCAACCTCCAAAATATGTCCATGGATGAAACTATTTTACATCAATGAATTTCTCTGAGGGTCTATGATAATCTGTATATCTCACAATATTTTGTCGGGCAAGAATTAACCCCACAGGCCCCCTTTTTCGGGATTTCTAAAAAAAATCATAACTTTTTCAAAATACACGTGGATGGGAGTTTTTTCCTATGAATGTGTTCCTCTGGTAGTACTTGATAATATGTATATCTCACAATATTTTGTCGGGCAAGAATTTACCCCACAGGCCCCCTTTTTCGGAATTTCGAAAAAAATTCATAACTTCTTCAAAATACACGTGGATGGGAGTTTTTTTCTATGAATGTATTCCTCTGATGGTACTCAATAATATGTATATCTCACAATATTTTGTCGGGCAAGAATTAACCCCACAGGCCCCCTTTTTCGGAATTTCGAAAAAGTAATGAAAGTAAGTGAAATTGTTTGAATAATTCTTAGGTATACAAAATTCGAAAAAAATAGTTGACAGTTAATACAATTGACAGGCCAGACATGTCTCAAATTACTGAAGCTGTGTTTAATGAACTGCGTTGCCATGGTAATGTGTTTAAGAAATCGTGTTGCCATGGTAACGTGTTTAATATTTTGAATAAATCACATATCGTCAATCCGTAATTCATCGATCATTTAGCGTGGCACATATCCGTTCGCTAATAGTATATATTATGTAACAAGTGTTATAAACGTCCTTTTAGTAACGAGTATTTTAAGCACGAGCGGAGCAGAGCGGAGCGAGTGATTAATAAACGAGTGTCTAGAAGAGTTTATAAACTTGTTACATACAATGCTTTTTCTACGAACTCCGAAAATAACATTAACATACCTGCTATTCCTGCTAACCTACAAAATAATTCGAAAGGAATGGGAAATGGAGAACATAATACATGCAACTGCATGCAACCAGCGAGACACGTATAAGTGATATTGGTTGTATATGTGTCCAGTAGTCCATTGCTTACTAACTTTTGTTTCACTTTTATTGACATGCTAAGCGCAGAATAAATAAATTGTTCTCAAAGATAGATGCTTCATTTTTACACTTCTTGGCAGAGTCGGACTGGGGGGCCGGGCGGTCGGGCGATTGCCCGATGGGCTGGGGCCTTTTGGGGCCGGTAGAAATAGTGAATGAATAGAGAAATACATGTCTTCTCAACAGCTTCCTGAAGTATGAGACCA